ATCCTTCTCACAAACAGCGGTAGAGCTCTTGGATGTACTGTACAGTGGTACCTCAGGTCAAGTATTTAATTCGTTCCGGAGTTCCGTTCTTAACCTGAAACTGTTCTTAACCTGAAGCACCACTTTAGCTAATGGGGCCTCCCACTGCCGCCGCGCCACTGGAGTACGATTTCTGTTCTCATCCTGAAGCAGAGTTCTTAACCCGAGGTACTATTTCTGGGTTAGCAGAGTCTGTAACCTGAAGCGTCTGTAACCTGAAGCGGATGTAACCCGAGGTACCACTGTATATGCCACAGTATTCACAATTTAAAGTTGCATCATTTTGCTGAGGAGAACGTCTACAGTCAACAGGAAAAATACCCTGGGCATTTCAAGAATGATTTCAGCTATATAGTTACAAATCCAACAATATACTTGGAAGTTCAAATCACCTGTCAGCCTCAGGGCACAAAAGAAAAGAAAAGAGGAAGGCAGAAGTTTAATAAGGAAGAGCAATTCCATCTAAGGAATGTTTTGAATTCTGCTTTTGTCATGTTTTCTCTCAGACTGTGGGTCTGTTCTAAATACTCCATAAGAATAAGAAAACTCTTTAAAGAAATCGCTTGCCACTAGCATAGGTACACATCTTGAAAGATCAAATGGATACTAACAAGGGGTGGAATTTAACATTGGGCTATGCTACATGTTCTGCTTGCACAAGCACATCAGCTTGCTGGACAGAACGATTTCCCTCCCCTCCCCATGTCCTGTTCTTGCTGGCGCAGGAAGAAAGCCCCATTACAAAAGTGGAAGCCCTTGTGGAGGGCTTCCACTTGAAAGGGTTCATTAGATTTTTCCTCACCAGTATAAGCTTGGGTTAAGTAATTTATTATGGTTGTCACTGGAGTGCAGCTTTAGAATCTTGACATTCCTCACCTAATATTCTAGACAGAATGTGAAAGAGTAAATTCTGTTTAGTTAACCTAAACCATGAATTTACAATGGGTGCTCGTGGGGGCAAAGAAGCCTTCCTTAATGCCCACAGTGTCCATTCCCTTTCCCTGCCACCTGCTGAAATTAGGCTTGAAAGAAGCTGTCCATGAAAGTACAGTGGTACCTCGGGTTAAGTACTTAATTCGTTCTGGAGGTCCGTTCTTAACCTGAAACTGTTCTTAACCTGAAGCACCACTTTAGCTAACGGGGCCTCCTGCTGCTGCTGCGCCGCCGGAGCACGATTTCTGTTCTCATCCTGAAGCAAAGTTCTTAACCCGAGGTACTATTTCTGGGTTAGCAGAGTCTGTAACCTGAAGCGTATGTAACCTGAGGTACCATTGTAATAGAAGGTTCCTGCGGTGAAGGAGGCAATTTCAAGGTGGGGAAGGGTACAACTGGAGAGGGGTAAGTTAAATTGTGTGTGTGGCGCCCACAACAGTTACTTCAGTTTGCAAGTGTACCCCTGGCTTAGACATTTTTTGTTTGTTTGTTTTTAAGGACACTATGAAAAGGTTTGTAAGCCCTGTGCTACCCAACTGAGCCATAATGAGCTAAGGAACATAATTGAGATTAGAAAGCAATAAAACTCTAGACATGTAGCTTTTCTTAATAACTTTCACTTCTTCCGGGAGACCAGGGCGAGGCTTTTGCAAGAGTCCAAAGTGCAGGCTCCTTCCTGTCGGCACTCATTCTGTAGTTAAAGAGAAAATGCCACCATCCAGGAGGCAGTGGCCATAGCTTACTAGTAGAGCACACACCTTGCATTCAATTTCCGGCATATCCAGGTAAGGCCGGAAAACACCTCTAGTTAGTGTATAACAATACTGAGCTAGGTGGATAAGTGTGGTCTACAAAGGCTGCTTCATAGGCTAGGCGAGGCGAGGCTAAAATGAGGAAGTTCATATTGCAGCAGTCTGTAGTCTGTGACATCATCAGTTACCAGTACATTAACATTTATGTAAAGTCCCTGCTAAGGTTTATTGCTTGCGGACACAAGACAGAGCCTTTTTTTTGGTGGCACCCTTATTGTGAAACTCCTTTCCCTTGGAACTCCAGTTCTCCTCTTTGATTTTAAAGTTTGGGCATCAACTGAAGACCTACTTGTTCACCCAAGCTTTTGTGGGATAATGGTGTTCAGCACCTGGCTATATATTTGGTGATGCTGAGATTCCATGCTATGGTTCATTGGAGGATTTTCTAACATACGGTACTTTTTATGCCTGCATTTCAATAGACTGGATGTTGTTTGAACATTACCCTAAGCTGCATGTAGTAAGAAGAGCGATATAAAAATGCAACAAACAATCTGTTGTTTATGTGAAACCTCTGACACAATGCTGAAAGACTGGGGGAAAGGAGAAAGTGGGGGGCGGCGAGAGAAGAAGTGAGCGCTTTCTCTTATCCCCACTTGTACATTCAGGAGGGTTGTCTAGGTTTTTGTCCCTTGATGGCAGCCCTTAAGCTTGTGTGATACTGGAAGATGAACTCTTTCTTGTGCCCTGCAAGAATCATCCAGTGCTACCGCAAGCAAATGATACAACAGCTCTTTTGTTATACCCAAATCCCAGAAGATATGAAAGGACTCGTGTTTCTCCCTCCCCTCTCTGTGGGCTGCTTTCTGTCTCTGTGGTGGCTTTTTTTTTTTTTTTTGCACACACCCTTCCAGAATCCTGTTTTCGCAAGGCCCACAAACCTTCCTCTTCATCCCCGAAAACTCAGGTACAAAGCACAGAACTGGCGGAATGCAAGTTCTCTCAGCCTTTTGGTCCAGCAGCTTGATGCTGCTTCTTGAATCTGATGTAATGCTAATATCAACTTCCTAACTCTCTCTGATTGGCCGTTTCAGACAACCCACGATCCTGAAACCTCATGATAGGAGAGGCTATAAGCACATACACTGTATGTAAAAATCAAAACAGATAAGGACCCCCCCCAACCCAACCCCCTTTGGTAGTTGGTGAAAGAATAATGCAAGATTTCAGGGCTTACACAAAGCTTTCTCTCAAGTAGAATGCAGAGGTAGATGTTTTCTGAAATATGGAAGATTGCACATGTTTACGTCAACAGACGTTGGCCCAATAAAGGTACCAGCCTGCCCATTTGGCTTACCTCCCTCTACACACAGTAGTGGCTGCCCCCCACAAAAATAATTGAAAAGCATTGAAAAAGGCTGCTCCCCGTAATGTCCTCTTTTTAGTATCCCCTAAAAAAAGCTTAACAACTTTGGCTGCCCCCCCCCAAAAAAAATCCTGGCTACACCCATGGCTGTCTACGTGTATTTTGGGAACATCTCCAACACTTGAACTTTGAAGGATCCGAGCATCTTGGCCAATTGTTGCAGAAGCAATACATGTGTTGAGGGTGGCAAAGCATATGTAACCTGAAGTGTATGTAACCCGAGGTACTACTGTTACATACGCTTCAGGTTACAGACTCTGCTAACCCAGAAATAGTACCTCGGGTTAAGAACTTTGCTTCAGGATGAAAAAAGAAATCGTATGGCAGTGGTGCAGCGGCAGTGGGAAGCCCCATTAGCTAAAGTGGTGCTTCAGGTTAAGAACAGTTTCAGGTTAAGAACGGACCTCCAGAACGAATTAAGTTCTTAACCCGAGGTACCACTGTACAGTAATGTTGCAAAGGTGAGAAAAAGGGCAGGGCTTGAATCAGAGGATAAGAAAAAGGTTAACCAATATGAGGAAATACTGGGTGGGGAGGGGGGGGGTGGAAACTGGGGTTATAATGACCCAGGAAAGAAAGGTTTCCTAGAAGAATTTGGCTTAAAGGAGGAGAAGGGAGCAGCTTGAGAGATAGCGATAGAAAGACTGCAGGCATACAGATAGCAAAACGGAAGGCATGTCAGATTGCCCAAATGGTCGATATCACAACTTTTGGCTGAGTCGCAGACAAGCTGGTTCCTGGTTATTCCCTCCCACCAGAGACAAAAAAACAAAACAGGCCTCTCATTCATCACATCACATCTATACACAGTCGCCCTTCACACAAATATGTCTTGTCTGACTTAGTAGAAGTTCAGCTCTTACACAACCTCCTTGTAAAAAAGCAGTGAGGCACCTGTGACCCTTTAGAAGTTGTTGGACTCCCACTCAAACTCTGGGTCCAGTTGGCTTCATCTGAACACATGAAGAAGAATTTGGGCATTCACGGAGAAGAACTTCATTTACTATACTAAACAGTTCTAAGATCAGAAGGGAGAATCGTCAATTGGGGGAACCAGAAGTCTTGTCTACTTAAGGACAGTCAATTATTCCAGAACTTAATTTCTAATTTCTGGCGTGAGTCGTTTTGCAGAAGTTAAATTCTCAGCTTATATTTGTAAAATACAGTAGTTTGAAGTTACATTAAAGAAGACACTAAAGAAGAAGAATAAGCTTTTGTCGCCATAGTAGATACATGTCAAGCAGCCTCCCCCAATAAAAAATACACCCCAGAACCAAACTGAACAATTTCCACTTTGGTAATAATTCATAATAAAATCTTAAAAGAAAGATGCAAAAAATTGGGAAAGGCCGATAGAGGATATCTTCAAGTATAAGGTATAACTTTAAGTACACAACAGTAAAGAAGTACGTGTAACAGGTATCGCTACTAGATATTTTGCTACCACCCTCTGCCATCTTTCTGAATAAGGCTGCATGGCAGCAGGGTATAGCTACAGCCTCAGAATTTCTTGCAGAGAGAGAAGCCTGTGCAAGGAACTCTACAAACATGTGCTAAATACTCCACCCCAAACAGAACTACAGTAGCAGTAGTTTTATGGCACCACAGCACTGTATACATCTGAAGCACTAAGAGGAGATGGCGTAGACCAGAACTGAGACCAGTGGTCTCTAAAGCAAACGATAAGCTGTTTGGGCCTTGAAAACTCATTAACCTAGAGCAAATCTCTGCTTTCTGTTTCCATTCTTAGTGTCTGCTACAAAAGGTTCTGCCAGGCACGCTATTATTTTGAGCAGTTGCAACCTTTTCACTAGATTCCTGCTGCCTCTCCATGGTTTGATCTCTTTCAGGGGGGAATTCTGGGCTTCAGCCTCACCCCATCAGTTAAGCTACACACGGCACATTTGGCAAAGACCAGCCTGCTTGAGGAAGCACGGACAGGCAGTACTATGTATTGCCAACAATGGATGGCAGGAAATCTTGATAAAATGGAAGAACCAGTGGGGAACAACCAGCACAATGAGGGATATTTAAGAGGTAAGCCTCTTTCTTCCTCTTGTAATATACGCAGCAGAAAACCCTGAACACCTGAGGATTTAGCTCAGCTTAACACCATTGTCCTTGTTCCCTTTACGCAGTGCTCAGCTATCTGTTTAGTCCTGTATCACCACGTCATGAATGTCCTTTCCATCTGCTAGCTCTCTCTTCCTTTCTTTCCAGGTGATTACACTCTCACGACTTAGCCTTCCTATCACAAGTCACAGGGGACACGTTGGCTAGAAAACATTTTGCAGTGGGCTGTATGGAGTGCACAGAGCCCCACGTGAAAGAGGTGTTTTAACATACAAAGGGAGGTGTTGGTTGCCATTTACAGAGGCGAGAGGCCAGTTCTCTCTTTCCTTGCATTCTTACCCACAGGCAAGCTGTTCCCCGGTTTGCTGAAACTCTGCTGTTAAAAGCTAAATGGGCTTGTGCATTATTATAGCAATGGCAAATGCAGAAATCCCTTTTCTTGAGGGAAAAATGAAACACTGCCTATTTGCCCTTTAAAAAGAAGAAAGAAAGAAAAATCTAACCTTTAACAATCATTTGGACCCTGCTGGATCTTGCTCGGCCCTCTTTTGAGATTTAAAATGGATCCCCAGCCTGGACGCCAGGCTCACTAATCTGGCGGGGTGTTTAGTGGAGCAGACTTGTTCTCTGTGGCTCCAGAAGGCAGGACTAAAACAAATGAGTGGAAATTGCAGGGAAGCAGATCTTGGTGATATCGTAGAACTGTCTGCCTCACAATAGGGTGTCTGCCTCACAGTTCCCACCATCCCTGACCACTGGTCCTGTTAGCTAGGGATGATGTAGTCCCAAAACATCTGGAGGGCCGAGTTTGGGGGGGGCCTGCTTTAACCCATTCTCTGACAGACACTCTACTCTCCTGTCATCACATATATATAATTCCATCTTAGTTGTCGTTCTATCACGCCTCCTGCTTATTCTGTTCCGAGCTGTCTCTCACATTCAGACAGTCCTTCACAAAACCTCATGCACAGTATTTCCCTGCCTTATTCCATCCCTCACATTTGCCTTCCTTTCCTGGACATGCTACATCAGAATCTGCAATCAGGACAAATGTTTTATTTTCAGTTAAACAGAAATCACATCCCAACACTGTTTAAACATTCTTAGTCTGAAATACAAACTCCTATCTAGATAAGAAGCTTGAGTATGTGTCCATCGTCCCAGACTTTAATAAATGATTCATCTTACAAAAGCACAGCTTCTGTCATCTCCCCAGCCCACCCCTATAAGTGCTCCTATGCCTTTAACAAATTTAATAGCTGCATGACAGGTAGGCATTAAACAGGTTAAGCCTCTTCAGTCATTTGCATCAACATGCTAGGATAGTATCCACAAACTGAACATCTGCCTAGAAACTGTCCATTATTTCATAATACAAGTTGCATACCAGTGCTGGTGGCATGTGTGAATGAATTACAGATACGGTACAGCTTTTTTGTGTGGTTGTTGTTCAAACAAACGAATCTCCAGGAAGAAGGAAAAAACTTGCCTGGCTCTGCAACATCAAACTGGCTGATCAACAACTTGTGCCAGGTTCAAGTGGCGCAAAGAGAAGAGAAAGCACATTACAAACTTTTTGAAAGTATACATGAACGCACAATGTCCTAAATTGCCTAGTGCCTACCTGGGTGAGAAGCCCTACGCTTCATTTAACGTCTCTCTGGTTAATCGATAGGCAAAAAAAATAAAAATAAAGGAAGCCCAGTGGCTGAGAACAGACATGAATTAATTCCACAAACCTCATTAGTGCTGGGTCTGATTCAAAGTCCAAATCCTGTGCAACAATCCAAGTAGCAGGCACCCACACACCAAGCCAAGAAATTCCTCTAGAGGCAAGAGTTGTGCGGGGTGCGGAGGGAGGACTTCACTGCTTCATTGCCATTTCCAAATGAAAGTGGTGGTTTTTTTCCTGACTCTTCCCCCGCCCCCAGCTCCCCCAACTCCTGTTTTTATTTTAGATGCCAAATGGAAATCCTCAGGAAGGAAGGCAGGAAGAAGGAACTGGTGGATGTGACATACCTTTGCAGGGCTCCTGGTTCCTTCTGATCAAATGCTGCTGACTTCTACCTTCTCTCTCTCTCTCTCCTCTCTCTTTACTTCTGCTTTTTAGCACCCTCTGGCTGCCTTTCTTTCACCAAGAGCATATGGAAGAGTTGCAGAGCAGTAATGGGAACAGCTCTCAGGCAAGTGGAGTCTGAAGAGACAGTTTTATTTTAGCTCAGGTGTGCGCACAGAGGGGAGGAGGGGTGGCTGTCCGTGACTCAGGTCTGTCTGGCATGCCTGTGAGTTACGCACACCTGTATGGGCAAGAACAGCTCGGGCAGCCAAGCCTGCACTCCTTTCTTCCCAAACACATGCTCTTTTCTTGAGGGGGGGGGGGGAAATGCTCCCACCCACAGGAAAAGGGGTTGACGCTAAGAGTGAGACAGAGCCCAACCCGGCTGAACGTCTGCAACGAAGATTTGCAAAAGGGGTTGTTAGATAGCAGGGGAAGGAAAACAAATCTGATAAGCTTGATGGTGCCACAAGACGATTCGCTCCAGTCTTTCAGTGTTTCATCCACGCACACACATGAAAGAAAATTGGCTGGATTGCTGCTTTGAAGTCCCTTTTTTCCCCAACCCAGTTTTCTGTCTCTTTAGAGCTTGGCCCTCCAAACGTCCTATGCTGTGGAAGTCAAGAGAGCATTGTGTTTTGGTATTTGAGCCCTGCGCAGCCCCCTGAGGAAAGGTCAGTAAAGTTCCTGCTATATCAACAAGCTCCAGCTCCCTATTTCCTTCGCTGCCAGACAAAAGCTTAATGACCGGCATCCTCTATTTGTACCTCAAATAGGTGAAAGAACAATTGGACCCCACCATCTCTAGATTAAGTACCCCCAGACTAAAGCCCACAGCTTCCCAAGTCTTCTTATACATCAGCCTAATTCCGCTAACTGGTGACTTGAAAGCACAATCCTGTTTGTGCAGTTGGTCAGTACAGAGCTGGCTCTTCCAAGCGCTAAGCCACGAGATGTGTTTTAAGTGGGGATCATGCAAGAAGTGGTCATCTTTTTTACATCCTGTGATTTGCCCTAATAAAAGTCCACCCCAGGCTAATTTGCAATGTGTAAACAAAGATGCAGCTATGGTTGGGAATTAAGGGAGAGAGGCTGCTTTGTACTTTTTCCCAGCTGCTACTATGTGCATCTCATAATTTAGAAAGCATTTAAAAGGCTTTTAAACTAGGCCCTTATTTCATCAGTAGGCTGGTTCCTAGCTGTGCGCCCTATGGGTTTTTCAAGACCAGAAGGCCACATAGATGTATTTCACATGCCAAACTGTGCTCCAAGTTCCAAAGGTTTAGGGTGAACAGAATCTAGATCAGTATCTACCTGTAGATCTCTAGGTAATTTGCAGTAGATAAACAAGATATTTTTGACTCCAGATGGCTTAACAATAGGAACAACTCCCACCCCCCACCCCAAACTGAGATGTGAAATGAGCAAAACTTAAAGGGAACCAGGAATTGATTTTTGTGTAAAAGGTCAGTGAACTCACTTCTGGTAATGAAAATAAATCCCTGGGCTGGAATAAACTCAGAGGTGTCATCTTCCTTAGTTCTAAATGTTTGTCCACCACTATTTCTAAGCCATCATGTTGCACATTACCCTGGTATATGCATATTTTTGTACACATTATTACCTGGCTAGAGAACTGCACTGTAAAATTAGGTGTGTGGATTTTGAAGGATGGCTGTGTTTCAGTTCACATATTGTTTTGGAGAAAGCAAATTAGGCAAGTTTTTAAATGCAAACTGAGACAAATTTCTCTCCCATCCAAGAAAAAAACAACACACAAAGTAGATCCACAAGCTTGAAGTCTGCTCACTCCTGCTAGACAATACAAATGTAAATAATAGAGAAGGATGCCACTGCCAACCCATTGTTAGGATCCATCGCACTGATAATCAGGGTGGGAGCTTACTGTTAAAAGCATGCCTTACAAAAACCCCACACATACACTAAGTAAAAGAATGTACGTTTTACCACCCCACCCCCCTCTCCTTCTCTCCCCTCTCTCTTGGCATAGGCAAACTCTGGCCCTCTAGATGTTTGGGACTACAATTCCCATCACCCCTAGCTAACAGGACCAGTGGTTAGGGATGATGGGAATTGTAGTCCCAAACATCTGGAGGGCCGGAGTTTGCCTATGCTTGTTATATTGTATACAACACTAATGTCTCACACCGAATGTAACTGATCTGTAGAAAAGACTCTCTGGAAAGAAAACACCAAGAGAGACAATGCACATACTTTTGTAACCAATAAAATCTTTAATAGATTAAAAAACAACAACAACACAACACAAAACATTTGCTACCAGATGGCTGGCCACCTCAAAACGAATAATCCTTCACCTCCTCACCATATTCCTCTGGATTTAGTGACAGTGAAACTGCTTGCACCAATTAATAAGGCAGAATATCCACAGGGAATGTTTATTTTAACATGCATGTGTCAAGGTGATCTATTTATTAAGACACCTAACTTAATTTCACTGGATTTATTTTCAGTGTATGCGAGAGGAGGCAATGACTATGGCAGGAACTCCCTCACCCAACCCAATTTCAGCCCTCTGGTGCAGATTTGGGGAGGGTGCGAGGTGTGCATGAAGAGAGGGTGGTGGGACGTTCTGTTGCATAAGTGTAAAATCCTTGCATTCTCAGAACAAGTTTGGATCCCACCCAGTGCAACAGAAATGGATCTAGGAAGCTTGAGTTTGAACCTCACTGTGTCCACGGACCTATTGGTATAAGAGTTTTGTCAAAGGGCAGCAGAAATAGCAAGGATTGCACATCAGAAAGGGATGCTGGAGAGGGTAGGACCAACTTGAAGAGACACAAAATCTCACTGCTAGGTTTAGTAGACCTTTTACGGAACCACCAGTTTAGAAAACAGCTGTGCACAAGGCTGGAATACAGAAACCCCAACATTATTTGCATCAAGTAATTCTGAACATTGTGGATTTCTGGAGTTCCTTTGTTGGAAATCTCTGTTGATGTGCTGGCTTCCATAAGCATTGTCAATGTTCAGGATTCCATGTGAGTGTAGGAAAATATCCCTGCCCTTTAGGGACAGCAGTCAAGAGACAGAAACTACACCTGATGTGTTAGCACAGGGGCTGAAGTTTTATTTGTTTTTATTTACCTGAAGCAGGCACTTAGGCTGCAATCTTGTGCAGAGGAGAAGAGAGGCACCTCAATCCTTCTTAGGGTCGTACCCCCTTATTCCAGAGCAGCCCTTTTTTAGGCATAGGTATGACATTATTTTCATAGTCATTCTTTCATTATTTCTGAAACTTTCTCCCCTTAAGTGTGTATAGAACTGGACAGCCTTAGAATACATGCCGTTTATTCTGCTTCCAGTGCATTCCTACCACTGGTGTTTGAAGCCAAGTACACATGACATTAGCCGCAGTCTATCTGTATCTTGTATTTCTCGAGAAATACTCCTGTTCATTGTGTTTTCCTTGATTTGAAAACACATCGTGGTTAAGCTGAGGTGCATACAGTTCAGACAGCTGTTGCACATGCACCAATTACAGCTTCCTTGAATAGGAGCTCGGGATGTTCCAGGTACAGGGGGGGAATCATGCAATGCCATGAAGTGTGTAGAGCAATCTGGTGTGTAGAGCTAGTGTGGCTTGAAACATAGGGGGTGAAAACAACATTGCTGCATTTTAAGTCTCTGATGTGCACATACCCTTAGAGACTTGAAGTGCTTTCAGCTGCTGCTTCATCATCATCTGTTTTACTGTTTATTGACATGTTGAAGTCACCTGGACAATATTTTATTCAAAACTGGGGTGAAAATATTTTTAATAAATAATATCCAATAAGTAAAATAATGGCTCTCACACCCCACATGAGATTTGGTTGAACAGCTGCTTTGCAGCCTCAGTTCCACTAATAAAATGGGAATAGATGTTGGCCACAGTTTGCTGTGGCTGATCCCAGTAGCAAATGTTCTCCCTCCCTGCGAAAAGTGTTCTGTAGTTTGTTTGTATTAAGTATTTTTGCACGTTTATTCCCTCCCGAGAAGGATCAACTTTGCTGCAGATATTCTGACTTGAATCTAAGGTGGCCAAATGATATAGCTGTTCTTATGTTGAGTCATTTAGCGAAATCGTCAAGAAAGGTGTTCAGTTGCCAAATTTGTAACATAGCTGCATGTAACATTTCTCTGACGTGCAATGGTGTTATGGGGTGTCTTTGCATGTGTTGATGCATAACTCCTCCTCCTGAAACATCTGTGGCTTGGCACTTTTGTCCTCACCGGGTTCTAGACCAATATTGAAACACTGTCTGGAGGAGGGTGGGGTAGAACAACAGGCAAGGTTAAGCTTTCGTTCTTCCTGCTGTTACAGTTGCCACATCCCAAGAAAACTTAGGAGCTGATAAGCAGACACCAGTCTGGCTGAGGTTATCCAACACTGTCTAGTTTGAACAAAAACATGTATAGTGGTACTTCGGGTTACATACGCTTCAGGTTACAGACTCCGCTAACCCAGAAATAGTACCTCGGGTTAAGAACTTTGCTTCAGGATGAGAACAGAAATCGTGCTCCGGTGGCACAGCGGCAGCAGGAGGCCCCATTAGCTAAAGTGGTGCTTCAGGTTAAGAACAGTTTCAGGTTAAGAACAGACCTCCGGAACGAATTAAGTACTTAACCTGAGGCACCAATGTAGTCCCAATGTCTATTTACTGAATATTCTGGCTTCAGTTGAAAACTGTCCTTGCAAGACTTTTTGTTTAAGTCAGACGCACGCATGCACCCCCCCCCCCATTTCTTTAAATTTGCATGCCTGCTTATATGGCAGTGTTTCTAGTTGCTTCCCCCCATGGGCCAGTTTTTTGTATGCAATTGTAACAGTGGCTCAGGAAACTCTTTCGTGGCACCCTATACTGAACAACACTTCTTGTGTTCCACAGGTGGGCTGAAGCTGAGCCAAGGGCTTGTCCCAAAGCTTTTCTTTTTTTAAAATGATAATCAGAGTTCCTGATAAAGAGAATGCCTTTGAACTTGTATATATTGCTTTTCCTAAGAACTAAGATATACTTAGGGACGCGGGTGGCGCTGTGGGTAAAAGCCTCAGCGCCTAGGGCTTGCCGATCGAAAGGTCGGCGGTTCAAATCCCCGCGGCGGGGTGCGCTCCCGCTGCTCGGTCCCAGCGCCTGCCAACCTAGCAGTTCGAAAGCACTCCCGGGTGCAAGTAGATAAATAGGGACCGCTTACTAGCGGGAAGGTAAACGGCGTTTCCGTGTGCGGCTCTGGCTCGCCAGAGCAGCGATGTCACGCTGGCCACGTGACCTGGAAGTGTCTCCGGACAGCGCTGGCCCCCGGCCTCTTGAGTGAGATGGGCGCACAACCCTAGAGTCTGTCAAGACTGGCCCGTACGGGCAGGGGTACCTTTACCTTTTTAAGATACACTTATCCTAAAAACTTTTGCAGATGATCAGTTTGTAATAATAAACACTGTTTCTGCCAATTTGTCACGTAGGAATGATCTCTGCTTTCAAAGAGATTCAAGGACATTGCATTATCCCACTACTTAAAATGGCTTTATTGCTGGGAAACTGCAGTCTTTTCCCCACCAGCAAGAGGAGCCAATGCAATGTGCTTTTTTTAAATGCACATCACAGGAATGGTTTGATTAGTGCCCTTGATGTCACTGAGCGACAACTTGGTTTCCATTTAGCAGTTTCACACCTCACAGAAAGCCTTTAGACTTTTCCTTGAGCCTTCAGGTGGACTTATTGCTGAGGTAAACATAACAAACTTTACCAACCCCACCTTACAAGCTCCAAATGGTGAACCTGGAGGCTATGGGTGTGTGCTGCTGCTGCTTCCACTGTGTAGCTTTGAGAGCTGCAGTGCATGGGAGCTGTTCTAGCATGCCAAGGAAGGGTGTTTCTAGAGGAAAAGAAGGTTCAGACACTAAGGGCTGTATTCAACTAACTTTTACTCAGAGTAGGCCCATTGAAACTAATGGACCTACGTTAGCCATGACCATTTATTTCAACTTCTCAGTAAAAGTTAGTTGAATATATAACCCTAGCTTACAGAAGGCTGAAAACAATACATGTCAGGAGTAAACAGCAGTAGGGAGAGGCAGTTCCTTTGGTGTTCGTTTGCTCTGACTTACAGGATCAGTGAAAGCTGCCTTACTCAAAGTCAAGAATTTTGGCCTCTCTAGCTCAGTAGCGTCAATTCTGACTGGCAGCAGCTCTCCACGGTTTCCGACAGGAAATTTCCCACTACCTGAAGATGTCAGAGATAGAATCAGAGCCAATTTGCCTGTGAAGCATGTAGTTTCCATGATCAATAGATCTCCCCAATGGCTCACTAGGCTTAGAACATGCCTACAAGGAATGCAGGTGTGAGGAATGAGGATGTTGCTTTATCACATAAGTCACAATGCTGGAACTAAAAACAGCTTGTGGTTAGAATGCTTGCAGCTGGGACTAGTGGTCAGGTTTGGCTCTGTCGCTCGCGTCAGTATGTAAATGCATAGAAACATAGACCAAATAAGGAATACGGTAAACAGAAGTGGTGGTTGTCGAAATCTGAGGAATGGATGTCAACAAGGGCAGGAATGTTAGTAGGTAAATTAGGGGGTCGTGATAGGCTGTAAACCTTTTAGTACCCAGCTAATGGGGAGACAAGGAAGGGAAGTTGCGCTTTGGGTATAGGGAATACAGTGGTGCCCCGCAAGACGAATGCCTCGCAAGACGGAAAACCTGCTAGACGAAAGGGTTTTCCGTTTTGGAGGTGCTTTGCAAAACGAATTTCCTATGGGCTTGCTTCGCAAGACGAAAATGTCTTGCGAGTTCCTGCAGGTTTTTTTCCCTCCCCCCCCTTTCCCCAAGCCGCTAATCAGCTGATCCGCTAAGCCGCTTAACAGCTGATCCGCTAAGCCGCTTAACAGCTGATCCGCTAAGCCGCTTAACAGCTGATCGCTAAGCCGCTTATCAGCTGATCCGCTAAGCCTCTTATCAGCTGATCGCTAAACCGCTTATCAGCTGATCCGCTAAGCCGCTTAACAGCTGATCGCTAAGCCGCTTAACAGCTGATCCGCTAAGCCGCTGATCCGCTAAGCCGCTAATCAGCTGATCCGCTAAGCCCGCTAAGCCGCTAATAGCGCTAATCTGCTAAGCTGCTAATGGGCTTGCTTCGCAAGACGAAAAAACCGCAAGACGAAGAGACTCGCGGAATGGATTCTTTTCGTCTTGCAAGGCACCACTGTATAAGCTTATGCTTTGTCAGTTTTGGGTGTGCCTACTTTGGACACCGGCTCTTGCAAGAATGTATGTATTCAATAAACTCTTTGCTGCTTCACCAATTTTGTTCAGATTGTATTTTAAGGAATGGGCTTAAGGGTCTTAGGACCCACTTCTTACATTTTACAGCAGGTGTGGTCTCTTTCCAGAGGGTTCCGTTCATCATGGAGAGCATGGCATCAAGTTGATAATCTGGAACAGACTTGGAGGGGTAGCAGGGCAGAGAGGGACTTTGCCACAGCATCTTAGCAAATTGCTATTAGTTTCATACTCACCATTGGGCATGCAGTGAAAATAGCCAGAGTTGTGCCAAAGATTTAAAAGCAGGTTAAACCATAACAAAAGGTGGTATTCAACTAAGTTTTATTCCAAGTAGACTTAACACATGGGTTTAAGAAATGTTCCTTTCAGTGGGTGCACTGAGAGTTGAATATGAATATGAAAACAAGGAACAGCTAGTCAGCCGCAAGAAAGCAGCTGTATCTGACTATAAAGCGTCTCCTCCAGGAGACTCAATAGCAGCAGTTCTGACTCATTTTGAGGGCAGCGAGGGAGTTGTCAGAGGATATATGATAAAGCTCAGCAGAACGATCTCTCACAAACAGCATCATTTTTCAGAAGAGGGGTGTGGAAAGGAAAGCAATCCAGAGCATGCCCTTCTGAGCCTTTACAAAATCTCCATACTTTTTTATTTTCACTCCTGTTTTGATAAGCACAGAGGCAAGAATGTTGACCTGTAAGTATTTTTTAAATATAAAAAAACATGCCAAGCTTTCTTCTCTTTGCTCAAAGCAATTTACAAAATCAATATAATAAAACCAAGTATGAAAAAACAAATTTAAAAAGTCAACTACACCCCAAGTCAAGGAGCAGCTAAGTTAATACGGAGGACTGACAACAGCAGAGGACTGATTATTCAATCTTAGGCATAGCTGGGGCTTACTCAAAGGCAAGTGTGCAGAGGATTGCAATCAATGGGACACTTTTTCAGACTATTGGGACAGGGAGTGTTTTGGTTTAGAATCTTCTGAAAAGACTGCAGGGGTGAATACTGGTAGACATGCCTAGGGAACTCATTCCATAACCGGCCCCATTAGTAAGGAGCTTCTGTGCCAACAGTGCACAGATGTAATCTCCAAAGGCATTTTGTTGATGTCAACATATATGGGGGAGAGGCTAGCTGAGGTATAAAGGCCTACACCATTCACATATTCAAACCAGTAGCATGAACTGTCTCTGGATAGAATCAAGGTAGTGCACAAGAAGACTTGAGAGGCTGCATTCTGACCATCTGAAGCCTCCCCTTGGAGCACTTTGCAGTACATAGTTCCCAGTATATACCACCTTTCTTGTGCTTTTAGGCCTAAGCTTTTACACTGTCATTTTCCATAGATGGTTATCAACTTGGATCGTTTTAAAAGAGGGTTGCAGACCAATTAAATCTGCTAGACTTGATGCCTCTGAATATTAGTTGCTGGGAATCATTAGCAGGAGAATGCTGCTGCTGTCATGTTCCGCTTGTGGACTTCCTCCCTGAAGTCTGGTTGGCCACTGTGTGGGAACAGGGCTCTTATGTCCAATTTTTAGACGTTAGTCAGCTATGTTAATAGAAATGACTGAGTACAGTGGTACCTTGGTTTATGAACTTAATCCGTTCTGTAAATCCTTTCATAAACCAAAACGTTCTTAAACCAAGGCATGCTTTCCCATAGCAGCAGGGGATTCAATTTACAAATGGAACACACTCAACAGGAAGTGGGACATGTTCTGCTTCCAAGACAAAGCTCACAAACCAAAACACCTACTTCTGGGTTTGCAGCATTCTTAATCCAAGTTGTTCATAAACTAAGCTGTTCTTAAACCAAGGTACCACTGTATTTGACTCTATGAGTTTAAAGTATAGCAACAGCACCCCTAGTATTCTCTCCTCCACCTGTGTTACACATTCTTCTACCAGTTATAATGGAAGATTAAACGCCAGCAGCAAAAAAATGACAATTTTTTTTTAAAAAAAATGTTTTTATATTCCAAAGTTCAGTTACACAGGTAAGAAAGCTTATACAAATCAACAGCATCTTTGTCATGAGAATGGTGAAAATGGCAGCATTATTGCAATTATACAGTTTGGTACCTATGTCACTAACATGCACACTGACATTTAAAGGGGGCAAAGGAGCTCTGGCACCAGCTTACATCTGTAGAAACTATTTGGTGCTTCTTTCTGTTCCACAAGCTCCTTCTCCTCAGTAGAGTCCAAATTATGCGCAATGGTTCTCGAACGGCTAGACATAAACATCAGTGTTGATTTGCAGTTTCAAATGTCCAGGCTTTCAAGCCCCAGATGACTGAAACTAAATGGGAGACATAAGGGCAATCCACACAAGTCTCTATCATGGTTTGCATGAAAGTGAGCCTATATACAATCAATTCTTTATGACTCTTACAATTATCTGCAGGAAAACTGAATAAGGCACCCCTGCCTGTAATTGCTGGAGGCAGAGATGAGAAGCGAGAGCAAGTAGATGTCACTCAGTATTGAATGGTTCACAGTGCAACTGATTGACTTCAGTAGTTTCTTGCTCAAGTTCTCATTTCACAGAGTTCAAAGGATCCTAAGACAGTCACAATTATAATACAACATTTAGTGAACTAATATTTACACACTGACATTTCATTGCACGCAACTCGGTAAGGGGCAGCTCCTCCAACAAAGAGAGCTTCTTCACGCATAGATATCTGTTGTGATTATGCATAGCCACCTCCTCCTCTTCTTGTGTGTCCATTTTTTAAACAGTCTTTCGTTTTTGCACCAGGAGGAGAGTATCTCCTACCCCTCTGACTTCTGCAAGTGGTGCTTTTGGCATGAATCAAAGTCAGTCTCTTCACTGCACTCGTCATTGCTTTGCCTTTTTCACTATGGTGCCAACTGCAGAGATCACTGTTGTTTTGGAGCCGCTTGCACTGGTTGTGACGGTTACCACAGCTGGCAGTGTTGCAGTAGTAGTGAGAATGGTGGGTTGAGCTATTGTTGTCACGGGAATGGCAGAATCCCACTTGCTTTTCCTCTTCTGTGCATCTGTGTATGTAAAAAGCAAGCATTAATTTCAACAGCCAAGATGAGACAAGATGCTTTTTGTCACTATTCCTTGAAGAGCAACCCTTAAATGATGACGCTTTCAGCCATTCCATGCTGACAGAACCAACTTACATGCTCCACAAAGCATGTTGCACAGCCCTCCTATGACTGTCCCAATTTAGAATTCTGGTAGCAGAATGCATATATCTGAATTATTTCTTCATATCAGCAACCCCCTATTTGTGAGAGTCTAGTACATCAGGGAGAAGGATTCTACTAGTCCAAGGGTGGCCAACTCCCGAGGGACTGTGATCTACTTTCAGAATTAAAATCTGGCAGTGATCTACCCCCCTTTTTAGGGGTTCAGGTTGAAGTTGTTGAGCTTTCTTTAGAGGTGGGAACTGGCCTGTTTTATTGGGGTTCTGGGATGAAAGTTCCATTTTTTGGGGGGGGAAACATTTAAGGGGGAAGGGAATTAGTGGATCACCAAAAGAGCGCTGTGGAAGCATTTTGCCTCACAGCAAAAAGCCTGTCTTCCGTTACAGAGATCAGGAGAAAATACAGGCAGGGAGAGGGGTGGGGCCGGGTGCTCTTAGGAAAAAGCAAAGGAAAATGAGCCCGCGATCAACTGCAACCTCCCGGGGATCGACCAGTCAATCCCGATTGACCTGTTGGACATCCCTGTACTAGTCTATCCATTTCCCCCTCCTGTTCTTCTGTGCGGGAACTTTTTAAACATGCAGTTTCCTCCACCACCATTCTGAAGTGGGACAGTCTGCATAAGAACGCAGATTATGACAGAAGGCACTCTAAAAGCACTGAAACCCCAAAGAATTACATCTATTTACTTATGGTATTTCTACCCCACCTCCTGCAAAACAGTCTAAATTATATATTGCTTTGTGTTTTGAAAATCTGTAATACGCCACTGAAAGTGTTCCATCCCTGTTCTACAGTCCCCATAGAATTACAGCTGTCAGTCTCTCTGCCAAAAGTAAATACAGTGCCACTGTCCTATAAGCTAGATCCTGCAGAGCATCACAATTCCTATGTAATTAGACCATTTCCACAGTATGACATAAAATGTAATCCCCCCCCCCCAAAAAAATACTTCTATCAGTGTCTATCAGCATGCTTGTTCTGGTAAGAATGCTCAACTTCTGCAGATGGGATTATATATAAGATACTTAATTTTACAGTTTCATGAATTCTGTTCTAAGTTACTCAGTTTGTATTGGCTGCCGAATCAGAGTTTTCTGCTTGCATCAAAAAAAATTCAGTTCCTGTAGTTTTTTGGGGGGCAAACTTTTCAGCTGCCAAACATAATTTGCAGTTTATTTGCTCTCTCACAGTAAATGCCAAAAGGAAGAGACATATGATGAAGATTCCATGGCTTTTGTGTGTTCCAGAGTTAAGATTCCAGAGTTAAGATGCAAAGTCAGGATGTTTAACTTACCACCACCTGCAGTGCTGGCTGTTGTGGTGGTTGTAGAGGGAGCGTTTGTTGTTCCTTTCTTAGTGCCTGTTACAAACTCAATCTAGAAAAGAAGTGGAAGCAAATCATATTCTGTACTTAAGATACCTATTCGTTGGCATTAGGAACATGGCAAAAAAGGGTTTATGAGCAGGACATCTTTGTTGACTGTTGAAGACACACAACTATATAAGTTGTTAGAGATTCAATAAACGAAAACACAGATATAACTAGCTGCTAGTAGTTAATAAAATCTTTGTGTGTGTGTGTACACACCCACACACCAGACAAGGGGACCAACTCCATCTTCAGACTCAGATGGAGCGATTTTGGATGGACAAATAAATAGTAGTCCTTCTCTAATCCCTTAAGATACTTCAAATAACGAGGTTAGAATCTCACGTTCCTTCACTGTACAATTTATGCTTCTGCAATTCATGTCTCTACGTGCATGACTTATATGGTCTGCATTACAGATTACAATCTAGCAACCAGAGAAACCACAGTCTGAGCACACGTCTCCAAGTCTATGATCATGGGAGAAAACAATATCACAGAGCTGGGCACTTATTACAGGAAGTAAAACAAAAGGGGCAAACCGAATGACGGAGACAAAGAAGTTAGCCACAGAAATATCTGCTGCCAGAAAACTCTAAACTGCTATGTAAAGGGGTGTGCATGTCTTGCTAACTATTTGGGTAATGTACACAAATTCAGGCCTCTCCTAATTTAGTCTGCTCTGTTTTATGATGGATAGCAATGGGGTGGCTCTGCATGAATGCACAGATAAATTGTGAAGTATCACAAATAACATCTCATGCTCTTGGTTCAAGAATACTGGTAACCCATATAAAAAGCAAATTTCTGATTTGCTCAGTGTGACTAATAGAAATTTTGTGATTGGGTGGCTAAGCAGTTGGATTAAGTTCAGTAGAAGGAGCACAGATCATAATAATTTCTCTCTATTTTGAAGTTATAATCTGGTACCTTAGTTCGCTCCTTCTTGGCCTTTTCCAGCTTGTCCATTTCAATTTTCTGTGCTTTCGCTGGAAATAGAACCACAGAACAGTGAGCACACTCAATAGATTCAACACCGCAAAGCAATTCTGAATCCACATTAGAGCTTCCCATGTCAGGAGGATCAACAGGGCTGCAACACTTAAGAAGACACTGATAGCATGGATTCTTAAGTGTGCCTGCTTCCCAAAAAAATATTTTCGGTGTAGAGCCCTTTCCAATAAAAATATTCTCCCCAGGACACAGCCAACAAGCAACTAGTTTCTTCCCATTCAGATAAAGGGGGGGGGATGGTATAGATCCCCATGTACAGTGCTTTGAGCTCCTTAAAGAAAAGGCACTGTACAGATAAATAGGTTCCAATTAAACCATCTCTGAAGTTCCAGAATCATTCACAAACACTAGAGAGAGTATCAAAACAAAAGCTGGATGCAATACCTAGTGCCTCATAATAGGAGTCCTCAGACCACCCATGAGGATCAAACATGTCCTAAAAAAGAGAAGAGAAAGAAAAGTTATGTAAATATGAATTTTAAGATATACAGTATATCAAGTTAGAAGGCAATGCTCTTAATTCTGCATTCCAGTTTTGTTTATTTCCTTAAAAAAAAAAGTCAATATATAAAAGTTTATAGACCTTACAACGTTATCCTAACAGCTAGAATCCAAATGGGAAAGAAAGATGGTGCTAAAGGACAGAGAATGATGACCAGGGGATTAGCTGTCACGGAACGTTCATCCCTTAAACGCCTTGATCAGGTCATGTACTTTGGCACAACTATGGGGAAGAGTAACTCAGTAACAGCAGAACGTTGAGACTGTACTGAATTCTGTGCAGAGGGTATTTAGCCAGAACTGCGTGAGGTGAGAGTGGGGCTATGTTCATTCGCCCCATCCCCTCTATTGCATCTTCGTCATGGCTAGGATCCTAAATCATGCAAAGTTCCAAACCCACGTGTTTATCTTCAAATGCGTATACTGACAGAGCTGGATGATGGGAGGGGACGGGACCAGTGAGTAAGGCCCTGCTCTCCCCCTCATCAATTGTAATGGTGTGAGGTATTAAAGACAGGAAACTGCTTGCATTCAATGGACTGTTTCATCCAGCTGTCCAAAAAACCTGGAGAATAGGAACCTATTCTCACAGACGTCAGGAATCCCATCTAACATCCCCCCTCCCCACCCAAGTTATTTGTTCCACTCACCTTGGGGTAATTTGTGCCAAGTTCATCAATCGCACAGAACTGGATCAACTTCTCATAGATGCTGAAATAAACAATCAAAATACATTATTTTTCAGCGTTGCACATCTTTATTTGTATCTAACTTGGCCCTCCTCTCACTGAAGAGGTTACAAATACAGAAGAGGACTATATGTAGCTTGTGGAACCCTTTAGATGCAACCAGACAGTCTTACCTTGGGTTGCGGAACTCTTTCTTCCTTTGAATGATATAGTTCATGTCCATGCCCTCTTTTATCTTCCTCTCGTACAGCTTTTGTATCTTGTCCTACATAGAAAAGAGTCATAGAATCAATACAAAGTAGTGGCAATATTCCAGAATGCTTCACAGCAAACACACATGTATTGAAAGAGAAGTTAAATGGCACACTCCCGTCCACCCAAAAGGGTTCTTTTACACTTAAAAGCAATATACACACCTTTATCTGGACTGTTCTTTATGTTATTATTGTTGTTGTTGTTATTATTATTATTCATATTGTAATAATAATAATAATAATAATAATAATAATAATAATAATAAAATTTCTATACTGCCCTTCATCTGAGGATCACAGGGCTCTTTACTATTTAGAAACACAAAAATACATACCATAGTTAAAAAGCAACACACACACACCCAATTTAAATGGCCATAAATTGTTTAATGAGCCAAAGGCCTGGGAGATGAGGGATTCGCCTAAATGTATTCGCCTAAAGACACAAGGTGAGCTTTCCTGCGGAGAGCTTTCCACAAGCATTGAGCCACCGCTGAAAGGGCTCGTTCTCATGTTGCCAGCCTCCGGACCTCTTTGTGGATGACGATCACAGGGTCCAGGTTGGCTCTTATAGGGAGAAGCATTGCTTGAGATATTGTGGTCCTGAGCTATTTAAGGCTTTATAGGTCATAACCACCACTTTGAATTAGGCTGAGAAACTAATTGGCAGCCAATGCAGTTGGGCCAGGTTTGGCGTTATATGCTCAAACTATCTTGCCTCGGTAAGCAACCTGGCTGCTGAATTCTGCACCGGCCGAAGCTGATGGGAGGCACTCTGCATCACTGAGGCCACCTGAGCCTCAGGTGACAGCAGTGGATCCAGAAGCTGCATATTCACTCATTCAGAGGGAGTGTAATCCCATCAGGAGCAGGCAACCTTCCATCCACCCGGTTTAGGGAACCGCCCACTGACAGTGCCCTAGCTCAAAGGCAGAGGAGGACCAGATTCCCACTAAGTCTCATACCCATTTTAGTTCTCCATACCACATTGTACACCATCCCAGAAGGCTCCTTGACCTTCATGAGTGGATTTTCAGGGGTTGGGTGGGGCTTGAGGTAGGAAGGCAAAGGTAGGAAGGCCTTGCTCAGCAAGAATATGCAAATTCAATAATTATTTGCATGGCTGGCTGAAACAAAAAGGTGGTTAAGAACACCAGCAACCTTTGTGGAATTTTGAGTTACAGTCAAAACCTCAACAAGATACAATATATGACATGGGTTACAGAAATAGGATTTGAAAAATGAAAAATTTAGCTGACCTGTAAGTGGTTGGAACATCTGCCAGGGGGTTCTGGAGGAATTTTGATCTCATCAGGAGACATGTTTCTTACTCGCTCAGAGAAGGAAGCTAGAAATAGAAAGGAGGCCATTAGAATAGCAAAGAGCATTAAAGAGATTTAAGCATGTTAAGTTCCTGTACTTCTGATCTTAAAAAGAAACAATCCCCTTTTTGTCAGTGGTTTCTGAAGATTGAGAAGCAAGTGCATTGGCAGACATGCAGGAAACTGGAAGCTCAATGCTTCTATCTTTAACGCAATTATTCAGCTTTAATTTTTTGGGGAAAGTGTTTTTCATATTTACTATCATATATTATTAGCATTGGTTTAGATCAGGGTGACAACTGGTTCATATGCAAGGCACAGTACCTAATAAAAGCAACACAACAACTGCTGATTATTCTTAAAGCAAATTGCTAGCCACAGACAATTATTGTTTAATCTTTATTCAGTTTAAGAACTACCACGGGAACATCGAGAAGTGTGATCAGTGCCTCTTGCCAGTTAAATATTTCACCCAACATTGATGACCAAGAATTTTGGCATTGCAATTATTTCCAAAATCTGCATCTCAAAATATGATGGTTCTAAAATTATGTGGGCAAATCAGTTTTTAAAAGGGGTAAGTGAAAGCCTGAAGTTTATCAAAGAACTGAATGCAGCGGAGAATTGTTTAGAGAGAACTGGAACAAGATACAGGTCAAATGCTGAACATTTCTTGTTCAAAATGTATCACAACTGCCAAAATAGGGGCATAACCTGACCAACATGCAGCAGCGTCCAGGTTTTGTTCTTAAATGCATGTGGGCTGTTGGTGATAGAGAGAATTAGACACAATGTTTCTACAAGTACAGGAAAAAGGCTGCTCTTCAAAAGGACATTATTCCAAGGCGACACTGTGTACCACGCTCTTGTCCCTTTCCTTGGCATCAGGCTCTGCCTTCAGTCTTGGCCTGAAAAGCTCAGACAATATGCCGTTTGTGAACAAATGCTTTTCTTTGAGCTTGAAAACAGGCTGCTACTTAAAAAGTGGGCAGGGTGGGAGCATTCATCCTGGAAATCCCTTTTCCACTGCATTTTTCCATTTTTTAAATAATATAATAATAACATGATTAGAACTTTCCTAGTTTTGGGGCAGTAATGTTTACATCGTAAACAGCATCTGTCGGCAGAAAGATTTCCCCAGTAGCAGGCAGGCACAAGCAACTGTATTACACTACTTGCTTCCAGTTAATATTAACTGAAAGACTGACTCTTATGTCCATCAAAGGATGGAGGGGCAAAATATTCTGCTATATTCCTATTACTCTTATCGGCTCTGAACCTTTTGAAGACAGGACGGCTCTACAAACATGAGCATATAGAACTGTCGGAAGACTTAGCCATGCATCTGCTTCTAGCTTTTTACCACTGGTGTCTTGTCATGTTTGTATCCACCGTAATCAAAGGCAAACAAACACCTGGGCTTCAGTTTAAAATTCTAATTCTGCCTTCAGAATTCTGCAATTTGGGCATCTCCCATGCCCTCCTCTCCAGCACCATGCTCTTCCATTAGGATGCTATTTAGGGTTAAGTTCGCTAGCAGTCACAAGTAACAAAGAAATGTCCTTTGGCATTTCCAGAGAATGTGCTTCTGTGAAGAATAGAAATCTTGCCAACATCCCCAGAGGAACACAGTTTGGCTCCAGAGCCCCTTGACAACAAGCTACGGACTTGTTATAGGTTACAAAGCCAGTGATGTGAGGGGTGTGTTCATTTCTAATTAAGAACGTCTCAAGTACCAAGTGGTGGTACCACCAATGTTTCATTACAACGGAGACCAGACATCTGAGGGAAAAGGTGATTTTTTAAAAGACTTTAATGAAGTCAGATACCCAAACCTCATGTGCAATTTAAAGCTAGCTAGGTATTAGGCTTCTGTGTTTTCTTGAGGGTCCTTGTTAGGCAGGAAAAGGATTTAATACTGTTCTACAGAAGACACTGAGGGGAGCTCAGGGAATGGCAAACAGTGCCAGAAGTGGCATGCTAGAGAGATGGCATTTACAATTAGGCAGCAAATACTGTTAGTTTCATCTATATATGTTTTCCTCTAATAATTTGGTTTGGGATTTTATTGCATCCTTGCACATGCTTTCTAAATAAATCTAATCTATTTAATGAGCTTCTTTGGTAGCGAATAGGTTAATATTTTAACACCTGAAAATTGGTCGCTCTCCTATGATTGACTACACCAGAGCTCAGTGTGTAAGGGAATCAAGAAGCATTCTTTTGAGACTTAGCTTTTTATATGGCTGAAGGTTTGCTTCAGAATTCAGACTTGTGCACTTTTCACTATCCCCCTCCCCATTCTCAGCCTCGCTCTTTTCTGTTTTAAGATTATGTGCCACCTTCTCCCCGCATGCCAATCTGCACCCAAGAGGAAATGGCGATAGACTTGTGCGTCAGGTGCTTCTTATGATAACAGCAACAAAAGTTAACAAGTAGCCATAAAAAGTGCCCCAAGGGAGCCCCTATACAATCTCCTGAGTGACACAGTAAGATAACCAAGAACCAATTGTTTATCAATGTACTGAAATCAAGGCGGTAGTCTCAGGAATAAATTTTGTTACAGCAGTTTAAACAGTGTGAAATGTACAACATTGGGGTGTATAACATCTGCTGCCTTCACCTTAATTCCGCAATAAATGGAAACGAATATATGTTGCCAGGGCGCACTTTCAGACATTTTGTGCATTATACAGCCTGTCATTTCCCCCAAAGATCAAATCCACTTTTGTGCCAGTCAGGTGTGGTGACCTGACATTGGTTGTACCGTTTGACTGGGTGTGCGCGCCTGCTGGCTTCCAGCCTAAGGCGTACTGCAAGGGGAATGCAGGAAGCTGAATATCAGCATGATTCACCATTATAGGCACACCCAACCTCTGGCTTGTGAAGTAAATAATTATTCATACCTTGAAGCTATGGTTTGACTAAGGGCTTGGCTAAGGCAATGGAAGCCACAGGGAACATATACCAATAAGCTGGGGCTAAAACTACAACTGGAACTGTATTGCTAGAATACAAGCCCTATATACAAGGAACCTGATCTGCCCAGTTGGCTTTTTACCCACAAATCGGACAGGCATCCTTCTCCTTCCTTAGTAATCTACTGGCCACTTCAAGGGTTTCTATAGTACTACATCACCTTCCGGTTCTTTCATCTTACGACCAGCCAAAAACTTTTATTGTCTTACTTCCCTGTCCATCAACAGGGCCAGGTTTTTCTCTCAATTCAAAAAGATTTACAGTTCCTCTTTGCTGACTCACAAAACACGAGCATTTTCTTGGAATGCTAGTGCCTTTAAAATCCTTCCTCAAAATACAGCCTTTAATGCCTCTTGTACGCCAAACCATGCATGCTGTGAAGACCAGAAGCTTTGCACTGGGGTTGATACAAACAATTACCCACCATGGGGAATCATTCTCATATGATCACATTTAAAGTGTCCTAGTGGCCACTTGGCTGCCCAAATCCATCGTCTAAATGTGTAGCAGGGAGGCTTTTGACACCATATGTGTCCCTAGCCCATGGTTGTGAAAACCAAAACACAGAACTGGGATTGTACAATTGTCCACAGTTGGCTATTTGACATACCATGAATATGGATGAAAATCCCTAAAGAGATAACTGACTCCAGCTAAGGTTCTGCAGCAATTTAAGCTGCTGGCTGGCCTTAAGGACAAATGCAGTGGTTCCTTGCTTGATTCTGGACTGCAAAGGATCCGAACAAGATCTACAAATTTTAGCTAGTACCTCCAGCATACCAAAACAAGACAAAGAGCTGTAGTAAGAAATAAGGAATTAGCTCATCGAATTCTATCATTATGCTTCTCAATTATGTTTATTATGCCAATGGATTTCTGAAGGGAAGAATAATGGAAGAAGTCTCCACAACAATATTGGGGACTCCTTTTAAGTTTCTGTTTTTGCCAAAAGGCTACAAGAGGAACTGAACAAAGCTAGTTTTATTAGCCAGGTCAAAGGTTTGGAATTAAGACGGCCATAAGCTTACCTACTATTACCAGTAATTCACCCCACTCTAAGGGCTATTTTAGATCATGGACTGGAATACAGTGGTACCTTGGTTTTTGAACGTAATCCATTCCGGAAGATTGTCGAGTTCTGAAACGTTTGATAACTGAAAACTCAATACGGAAGCCACGTGGCATGTTCAACTTCCAAAAAGTGTTCGAAAACTGAAGCATTTACTTCCAGGTTTACGGTGATCGAAAACCGAAACGTTCGTCAACAGAGACATTTGAAAACCGTGGTGCCACTAGTATTAAATGGATTAAAGTGAAACTAGATTGATACTAGGTTGCTTTTATTAATTGGTTATAATTAGTTGCCATTAGACTAAGCAGCATCTCCCACCCATAAAAGGGAGGTAACAACAGGCTGGGGGAACCCCAAGGTTTGCTTAAGTATTTTTAGAATAAACTCTAAGCAGAGATGGACTGATCCCACCAACAATGCAGTAAGGACTGAGTCTGCTCAGTGGGTATGGAATGCTGACCATTGGGAGTGGGGAAACTGAAGGATGGGAAATAAAGGATGATTATCTTGAAGAGGAGCGCTGCATCACATTTTACTGCAGGTTCACCACTTACGTAGTTATAAATCTTCTACAGGGTATCTGTATAGAGCAGCCTTTCTCAACCTTGGGTCCCCAGATGTTGCTGAACTACAACTCCCATCACCTCTAGCTAACAAGGCCAGAGCTCAGGGATGATGGGAGTTGCAGTCCAACAACATCTGGGGACCCAAGGTTGAGAAACACTGGTATAGAGAGAGGGTCAACTTTCTTCTTCATTAAATAATGCATTCTGCAATTGATCTTGCATTGAATAATACACCCTGCAAATAAATAGTGCTTTTAAATTATTTTACACATTTACAGCCAGCTGGTGAACTGCAGCCAAGTGTGCAAAATCACTCTGAGACATTCCCCCAATTCTAACCCAAAAGGAAGCATCATTTATATACTTAAATCCTCTTCAGTCTCAAATGGGATGGGCCAGCTGTAACTTCATGCCTGGGAGAGAGGGTGTTCGTTATTTCCTGGGCAACTAACAATAGAACTGTAGGGAAGTATATGAGGCATCAATATGCCACTGAGTCATCCAATTTTGAAAGGCCACTACAGTTACTGACTTCTGTTTGTGGGCTCAAGAATGCAGAACAAGATCAGCACATTCTGATCTTTTCTAATCTGATACATTTGCAACTCTTGTATACAAGCTCTAGAGTACTGCGTATATTTTCATATACACTGAAAAACTGCTATACAATTTTGCATATATGCACATGTCCAGCTTATCAAATACAATGAATTCCCTGGAAATCATTTGTTAAGTGAGCATTTGCATAGTGAACCAACAATTTCCATTGATTCCTATGGCAAAATTTGTAATCCGTTCCCAAACAAGGGTATTTGACACCCAAAAGCCAACCCCCCCCCCCGAAAAATCTTATGACTCCCCCTCCATTCTTTAGCCAACCAGCAAAAGGCAAACAAAGAAGTAAAAAAATGCTATTTGTTCAGATATCTGATTCTGTGGTGTGTATAGCAAGGTCTGTGTACTAATTCCTCACATTTGGATAAGTGAATTTCCACACAGTGAACATTAGTAAAGCAGGACCCGTGTGTAGTGTGAAGAATGAACCACATGATGCTCTAACTCTAAGACACTGAGACATAATGCTCTAAGACACCTGACTACTTGAAAATTGCTGGGGGTCGTGGGCGACCACCTAATGATTTTTCTGCTAGTTGTAGCAATTGGAATGTGCTGTCCTAAGTGCTGTATGATTTTTAATTGCATTTTTACTGACATGCTATGGGACACCTGAATCTCACACATCAGAGTTTGGGAGTCCCTGCTCTAAGGTACATTTAGTTGCTGCATCAGAAAATCCTTCAGAGAAGCAAGATGCAGCCACTAGTATCAGAACCACAGTTTATACAGGTAGCATTTCCTATGAATGGGAATAAAATGTTAACAAATGTGACCAATTCAATATGTGCCTATACAGTTGTACCTTGGTTGTTGAACTTAATCCATTCCGGGAGTCCATTTGACTCATGAAATGGTTTGAAAACCAAGGCGCTGCTTCCGATTGGCTGCAGTAGCTTCCTGCACTCAATCGGAAGCTGCGGAAGCCACGTCGGACATTCAGCTTCCAAAAAATGTTTGCAAACCGGAACACTCACTTCCGGGTTTGCAGCGTTTGGGAGTCAAAACATCTGAGTACCAAGATATTCGAGAACCAAGGTATGACTGTACTATAGAGTGCTGAGCATAAATGAAGTGGCTGGGAAGTTTTTACGAACATTTTTACCCCTTGGGAAATGAGCCTCCTTTAACAAATTTTCAAAGAAAGTGAAACTGCTTTACACTTGAGTAAAGTATTGCAGTACAGAGGATTGGTATCTGCATACAAAAGCTGAAGCCTTCCCTTTTAGCTGCAGCACTTTCCAAGGGACATGCATACCAAAGCAAAGGTTCCTTGGCCTGACAGTGGGGGGGGGGTGGCTTCCCTCTTTCCCCTGCTCCAAAACCTAAGCAGCAGCAGACTGGAGAACAATGACTGCAATGGAAGTTTTCCATAAATGTTTCTGCCCTTCTCAAAATGGTAACTTCTGGCAACCTCCCAAAAATCCAGCATATCCCCAATACTGTATCATATGCCAACCAAGAAGAGCAGGAAGGGCAAGAAAACATAGACGAGAACAGGCATGCTAGAGCTTGTTCACACTCACCAACTAGTTCTTGGGGATCTCTCTTCTCCAGTTCTGAAAAGTCCTAAACAAGAGAAAAGCAAAAGTTGTAAGTACAATAAGCCCTTTAAAATAGGTGTGTACTAGCCAATCCTACCCTACGAATTACAGATGGGGAACCAGTGGCTCTTCAGATGTTACTGATTTACAAAGTTCTCCCATCATCTCTGACCACTGACCATTTTGACTGGGACCGATGGGAATTAGAGTCCAGCCACATTTCAAAAGTTACAAGCTCCCCACCACTGCTGTGAACATGCTTTAAATACTTACATTATACGAAGACTTTTATAGTATGCATGTGTCACAAAGACACAACTGAAAAACTTTGAGAAGAGCACTATATATTTCAACTGAATTGCAAATATGCTATAACTCAGTTTCAAATTGGGTCACATAACAAGGCACATTGGGCTGGTTCACACACACACCCTGTAAAACTGTGTTTTAATGCTTTGTCCGTGAGCCAGAGACAGCCTGCCTTGGACCTGCATGCTCCCCCTCTACTCTCTTGAGGGACGGAAGAAGCACCTTCACTAATGTTTCATTTCACTTTCAAAGTATTTTGGCTTATTATGTATGTGCCAACCCAATATCTAGCAACTGCACCTCTCACAGTAATCAATACCTATGATTCCAGAGAACTATTTTTACTCCAAGACAACTGTGGTTAGAGCCCTCATGTCACTATATTGTCAGAAACATGGCTGAAGTTAATACAATGCATATTCTCAAGTAGGTGGCTGCCCTCACCCAAATCTTCCATCATTTAAATAATGGATGTCCTCCGTTTCTATACAAAATAGTGACAGAATTATTAGATAAGATTGTGGGGGCAAACAGAAAGGACAGAAGTGTTGTTGCATCCGCAGAGGTATCTCTGCCAGTGGGAAAACTTGATTGGATACAACTTTATGTGCATATTCTTGTTGGTAAAACAGTAATCAGTCAATACAGTGAATCTGGAAGTGTACTAAGAGGAAAAGGTCGGTTTCAAGACCAATTAACTTAGCTCCTTTAATACAGAGTCAAAGGGACACCCACAAGAACTGCACCTTCACATTTGCATGGAGTGGCAGACCAAGGAGGTCTTGAAAGGGGAGTTTTTATACCCAGGATACTCCTGAGAAATTAAGTCAGTGCAGATTATGAGAAACCAGAAGTGTCAGGATGAGGGATGCAAGGCAAACAAAGAGAAAGGGCAAGCATCAAGAAGCACAAGTTCCTATTAAATTAACCTTAGACAAAAAGAAGCAGACATTGGGAGCTCCATCCTCTCTTCATCGAGCAAGTCTTTCGTAATTTGCCAAGACTCTGCCTGAATGCCCACAGGTCCTTAAACACTGATGCTATTCATTCAAGTAGACAAATGCTGCCTGCTTGTTGGCTAGCAATGCAACTGTGCTACTATAGTTCCCTTTTCAATTTTAGGTGGGCAAAAGTAATGGCTTTTTGGGAAGCCAGGGTTCAGTTAGCTAGTTTGGAAATCTGCTCTGCCAAATCCAAGATGGCAATGTACACATTTATAAATGCCCATAGTGTCTCTAGGCCGGCCTTAGGGGATTACAAATTCGTGGCTTGTTTTTTTCGTATCACTAGCAACAGTGAAGGGGTTTTTACAGCCCCCTTGCTAAAGAACACTATGTAGCTACAAGAAGGCGGGGGTCATAAAACTCTTGTCTAGCTTTTGTTTTTTTGCAAAAGTGCAGTGAACTGGGCTGCTATTTCTTCCTAAGGCTGCAAAGGCATTCTTCAAAATAGTCTGCCATGTGGAAACTTATGCACAATGAACTGATGAATAATTAGAACTGCTTTCGCCAAAAGGTTTATTTAAATCCAGAACGTAAGAGGAGCTTGCTGGATCAGGCCAGTGGTGCATCAAGTTCAGCATCCCTGTTCTCACAACAGCCAACCAGATGCCTGTGGGAAGTCCAAAAGCACAACCTGAGCGCAACAGCACTCTCCGCACTTTTGTTGAGTGGCAACTGACATTCAGAGGCATACTGCCTAGGAGAGTGGAGGTAAACATAACCATTGTAGCTAGTAAGCATGGATAGCCTTATACTCCATGACATTTCTATCCAAGTAAAGGTAATGAATATACGATGGAAGAAGAAGAGTTTGGATTTGATATCCCGCTTTATCACTACCCAAAGGAGTCTCAAAGCAGCTAACGTTCTCCTTTCCCTTCCTCCCCCACAACAAACACTCTGTGAGGTGAGTGGGGCTGAGAGACTTCAGAGAAGTGTGACTAGCCCAAGGTCACCCAGCAGCTGCATGTGGAGGAGCGGAGACACGAACCCGGTTCACCAGATTACGAGACTACCGCTCTTAACCACTACACCACACTGGCTCCCACCACACTGGAAGAGGTGGATTCATAATGATGTTGAACTTTATAGAGGTGATCAAGTTAGGGGGGAAACTGCATGTCAGAGAGCCATCTGACATCTCCAGGCTGCCTTTGAAATAGGGCTGCAACATGAATAAAGGTGTTTTAATTAATTAATGGTAAGATTTTAGTTCATTAACACGGAGAACTATTTTTAGTACATATAAACTTTAAGTTAATATTTCTGATGGAAAAATGGAAACTTGTGTCCTGCCTGCACTCTTGCTTTTGGCTTCAATTTGAAGCACTGAAACTATAGGAAAGTATCAAATGTCCAGAGAACTATGCAATATTAGAAAAACAGAGCTACATAGATATCTATGTGTGTGATTTTGGAAAGTTACCAGTATATGGTTTTCCAGTAGACCAACTATAGTTCATAAGTGCCTAGAAAGTCTTCAAAATCCTTGTTTTAAAGGAAGACTTTCACCAATGAATGGCACATTATGAGAATCCTAGAAGCTGTAGTTCACCCCTCAGAGGGCTACAATTTGCAGCACCCTTAAACTACAGTTCCCAGGATTCTTTGGGGGAAGTCATGTGCTTTGAATGCATGGTTTGTGCGCAGCTGTAGACTTCACAGCCTTGGGGTATATCTGAGGCACTCGTCACAATGAAGTAAACAGGCCCTGCTGAGTAATCAACCATCAAGTGCTCACTTTGCCCAGAGGATATGAATCCTGCTTACTGCAGAGTGAGGTGTGCCCAGTGCTTCATGACTGAACTAGCTCAATGCTGTTTTCATGCCTCTCATTACTACATGGAATCATTTTAGAACATTAAGTAAATCACAGTAAACCAGAGCCATGGTGTCTCTTGTCCTGGAGGTAGTATTTAACCATCAAAACGAGCCGCTAGATACCCGTATGCTCCATGAATCTGTCAAATCCATTTTTAATGCCACCTAAGTAAATGCCATAGTTTAGCTATATGCTGTGTGAAGTGTTACTTCCTGAATCTCCCACTATTAAGCAAATGAGCACCTCTATTATGCTCCCTCTTATTCACCCCGCCCAATGAATTTAAAAGCTCCAAACTTTTCTTCACGCAGAAGTTGTTCCAGGACCCTAGTCACTTTGGTTGCTGCTTCCTGTATCTCTTTCAGTTCTACAATAGCCTTCCTGAGATGTGTGGACCAGAGCTGTACACTGCTTCCCTCTTAAATGAGTGGACAGTCAATCTAGACCGTTGCAATATATCGTCCAACTCAGAAGCACTTGCAGCAGAATCAAGTGGTGCCTTCATCAAGGCAGAGTGTTTTTCCTTCTTTTTCACACATAATAATAATAATAATAATAATAATAAATTTTATTTATATCCCGCCCTCCCCAGCCGAAGCCGGGCTCAGGGCGGCTAACAACACTAAAATAGTGCAACATTATAAAACATCATAAGAATTAATTAAAATCAAAATTGATGGCAACCATAAACTAAAGTATTGTAAAGATTGCCAAAGGAGGGAGTCAGGCTGTGCCCTAACCAAAGGCCTGGTGGAACAGCTCTGTCTTGCAGGCCCTGCGGAAAGATGTCAAGTCCTGCAGGGCCCTTGTCTCTTGTGACAGAGCGTTCCACCAGGTTGGAGCCGCAGCCGAAAAAGCCCTGGCTCTAGTTGAGGCCAGCCTAACCTCTCTGTGGCCTGGGACCTTCAAGATGTTTTTATTTGAGGACCGTAAGTTCCTCTGTGGGGCATACCAGGAGAGGCGGTCCCGTAGATACGAGGGTCCTAGGCCGTGTAGGGCTTTGAAGGTTAAAACCAGCACCTTAAACCTGATCCTGTACTCCACCGGGAGCCAGTGCAGCTGGTATAGCACCGGATGAATGTGATCCCGCAGTGAAGACCCCGTAAGGAGTCTCGCTGCGGCATTCTGCACCCGCTGGAGTTTCTGGGTCAGTCTCAAGGGCAGCCCCACGTAGAGCGAGTTACAATAATCCAGTCTGGAGGTGACCGTCGCGTGGATCACAGTGGCTAGGTCAGGGCGAGAGAGGTAAGGAGCCAACTGCTTAGCTTGGCGGAGATGAAAAAATGCCGCCTTTGTTATAGCTGCAATCTGCGCCTCCATGGAGAGGGAGGTATCGAAGATTACACCCAAACTCTTAACGGACGGTGCTGGCACTAATTGCACCCCCGCAAGAGATGGGAGTTGCCCCCTCAATCCCATATCGTCCCGTCCCAGCCAGAGGACCTCTGTCTTCGAAGGATTTAACTTCAACCGGCTCCCACGTAACCATCCAGCCACAGCCTCCAAGCATCTGATCAGTGTGTCTGGGGCCGAGTCAGGATGGCCATCCATCAACAGATAGAGTTGGGTGTCATCAGCATACTGATGGCAGCCCAGCCCAAAACTCCGGACAAGCTGGGCGAGGGGGCGCATAAAGATGTTAAAAAGCATCGGGGAGAGAATCGCACACATGGCTCCAGCAGCTAAGTCTCCCAGGTTTCAAGCCTCATGAAACCTGTATCCCTGGGCCAAATAAGACTATCAAAATTTATGTAATACATGGAATAATAAATGCTATTGTACATACTGAGTGTGTGGCAGTAGCAGAGATGAATGAACCTATGAATCATGGGATAGCTCTGTCGGTAGAGTATGAGAGTCTTAATCTCAGGGTTGTGGGTTCAAGCCCTACAT